GCATTAGATGTAGACGAAAAAAACTAATTGCACAGTTTGGTTGAAAATTGCGAGACAAACGTTTTGAGCCTAATTAGTCCATGATTAAACACTAATTGTCAAATAAAAACGAAAGTACTATGGTAGCCAACTTCTCAAAATTCGCGAACTAAACAAAGGCTCAACTGTCGCGCGCGGCGGATCCCCGCCATGGTGGACCCCTACCTGTCCATCACCTTCGAGGAGTACGAGGGCGGGCGCATCAAGAGCAGCGACGCCTTCAACGAGGTGAAGTCGTACCTGACCATGGCGAGCACGCGCGACGTGCGCCACCTCAGGGCCGAGAGCGGCGGTGGCGGCGGCCAGCGCGACGCCAACAACGGCACCGACAAGGGCAGGCTCGTCCTCAGCATGGCCAAGGGCGAGGAGGTGGCCGACGCCTTCCGCGGCGCCACCGTGTGGTGGTCGGCCGACTCCGTGCCGTACTGGACCCGCGCGGCGCGCGCCGAGCGCCGCTACTTCCGGCTGGACTTCGACGAGACCCACCGGGACCTGGTGATCAACGACTACATCCCGCACGTGCGCAGGCAGGGCCGCGCCATCATGGTCCAGAACCACCAGCGCAGGCTCTACACCAACATCCACTACGAGGACTACGACAACGACGGGTGGTACGAGGATGTGTGGACCCACGTCCCGTTCCACCACCACACGGTAACCAGGGGCGAGCAAGTGCTGCCCACGCTGCATCACCCAAGAGCCAATTGGGGGTGTCCGGCCGGAGGAATTCTGGAAGAATTTGGATGGTTTGGAGAAATGCTGGAGGAATTTGGGAGAGAAAAACACTGTTCCGGATGAAAAAAAGAAGCGGATCAAGCCGGATTTAAGGGCACGCGAACGGGGCCATTGACAAGGCTAAGAACATTTGGGAAACCATGTATCAACAGATACGCTGAACATTTCTACCGCGATAACAAAACTAGGTCCGCTTCATTGCTCTGCAGTCCATAAGCTAGTAATCCACAGCAAATCACCGTGTATCCAGGGGCGGATTTGGGCCTGGGGCAACTAGGGCCATGGCCCCAGGCGTGGCCCAAATTTTCCCTTATAGTATAGGTGTTTTTTTCGGCCGGCTCTAATCGTTGGGCCAAAATCCATCCTACCTCCAAATTTTCAAAAAAAAAAGGAGAGGCGAGTTGGCAATGGCGAGACTTCGTGCGGCGCCACAAGGACTTCCTCTCCACTCGCGACCTAGTGTCGGTTCTCCTCCGACTTCATGATGCATGATCTCGCCGAGCAGGCGAGGCCCCACCCCGTGGCAGGCGCCCAGTGGTGCATTGAAACCCTAGGCACATCCCTCCACCGCCGCTCTCGCTGCGCCAACATCGCCACCGAGGCGCCAAACCACGCGAAACACGGCAGCGGCGGCCGTCGGCCGGCCAGCCTTAACCTGGGTGCGGTGGCACATGGCCGTGACGCCTGCCCGCAGACTTGCACACTACACTGCTGTCTTGTGCTATCTTCTTTCGACTTGAGCTCGGTAATTCCCAATCCCAAATTCCCAATTGTCAAATCAAATTTGCGATCTAGAAATTCCATGAATGATAATTGATTATCTCAATTTTTGTAGTCTATAGAGTTGCACAATGAAAAGGACCATGACATTAAAATCTTTTTTTCTCCGCTCCCACGCCAATTATATAACCAAAGTGTCACAAATCCCACCTTCGCACAAGCACAATCGAAGTAGTAGAAGGAACACATATTTTAGTAGAACCAAAGAAGACAGAGAATGATCAATTGTATTTTATGGATTACATTGCTAATTTGTATGTATGTTCAAGTTCATATGATGCTCTTGATGAAAATATGACGGGCGAGGCCGATCCAAACCATCATTAGTTAGGTAATTCTGTAACCACTTTCATGTTTGGGCTATTGCGTTTCTACCCTTACTTTGATCCCCAATTATGATTTTACCCTCACTTTTTGCCATGTTGCATTTTTACCCTCGCTTTGTAAAAACGAACACTCAGTCTACCCCTCTTTATAACTCTGTTAGATGTTTATGTAAAAAAAATTTAAAAAAAAAGGAAAAGACAGGCTTAGAAGTATCTAGGACAAAAATAACCTTCCACTCACCCATGACTCTCCTATCCATCCCGATGCGGTCTCGGCCTTCTATCGCGGGCGCAGCGCTTGGGCGGTCGGCGGTAGCGGCTCGTGGTGGTGGTCAATGTGGCCCGCGCCCGCAATTGGGCGGCGTGGAGAGGGGTTCATGCAAGGCGCTGACAGCGAAAGGCGGGCGCGCGCTCAAGGCTCATGGCCAGCAGGCAGGCGGCAAGCGGCCGCCACGACCATCGGGCGACGGAGGAGCGGCCGGGAGGGGCATCGGGGCGGCGCGGCCGGCGGGGCAGCCGTGCAACGCGGAAGGGCGGCTAGGCGACGCGCGGCTGGGCCGACCGGCCTGGGCATTGCCTAGGGTTTCCCTGGGCAGCCGCCTAGGGTTTGGCTGCGCAGCACGGCAGGGGCGCTGCAGGTCGGCCGGCGGCCATGGAGCCAGAGGATGACGTGTCTAGAGCCACGGAGTTGGTGTCTAGGTACAAATTTTCCTCCTCTGTGAATGTGTATTGGCCAATTGTGGATCGAATGAATCTCGTTCTTCAGGCAATTGCGCTAATTTGGTTTTAATTGCTCTGATTTGTAGGCAAAATCACATGAACTTGAATCTGGTAGTTATGGTTTTGTCATTTTTCAGTTTGCCTGATGGGGGACCAAAAACATGGCGATAGGGTAGAATCTTGCCTACTCAAGTTGTTGACATGCATAGCTTCAATGTTCTGCAACTAGTTAATTTCATAGCTGAGCATTACCTGTGGGGTTCAAAATAGTTTATAACTCTATGGCGTCCATTCGAGGGTATTGAGATTAAAACTGATGAGCAGTTGCTTGAGTGGTTTGATTATTAGTATGAGATGCGAGCAAAGGAATTGAGAAGGTCAGAGATGATGTGTACCCAGGATAATTGGCCACATGTTGATTTGGACTATAAAATCAAGAAGCCTAAACTGAGAAGGAAACCAGGAAGACCAAGAAATTCTAGGATCAAGTCTTTCGATGAGACCAGCACTAGTTAGAAAAGGAAACCATGTTCTGAATGTTAAGAACTTGGCCATATACCCAAGTATTGCCAAGGAGGTCCAACTGCTAGTCAAAAGAGGAACCGCTCATCTTCTCAGAATGAGTCATCTTCACAAGCATCAATGTGAGTTATGCTGATTTTTTTCCTTTACTCTAGATTATTCAGTCAACTTGTTTACTGAACCATTTTTCTCCATTCATGTGAAGTGCAAATGCAAGTGGAAGTGCAAGGGAAGGGAAGAGGAAGGGGTAGAGGAAGAGGAAGAGGAAGTGCAAGTCTTTGCAAGTGCAAGTGAAGCACACAGAACTGAAGGAGCGTAAGGGCTAGAACACAAGGAAGAGGAAGAGGAAGAGGAGGGAGGTTGGCTGCATTGTAAGGAATTGTGTGATTATGACAATGAACATGTAATATCTCACTATTAGCTACTGCTTTTGTTGGACTTGTATGTTGATGATGGATTGTTGGTTGTGATGTTGGATGATGGATGTTTATGTTGGATGATGGTTGCTGCACTTTTGCTACACATACTTGTGATGTGATATTATATATATATTGGGCCCATATATATTTGCCTGTTATGTGCAATTATATGTAACAAGTTGTACAATGATGCTGCCATTTTTTTTTAAGAAAACAGGGGTAAAATCACAATGAACTCAGAAAAGTAAGGGTATTTTTGCAAGGGCAAAGTTGTCCTTGGCAAGCCCATTTAACCTCGTTAGCTGTTGTTAACAGAGTTGGGGTAGACTGAGTGTTCGTTTTTACAAAGCGAGGGTAAAAATGCAACATGGCGAAAAGCGAGGGTAAAATCACAATTGGGGTTCAAAGTAAGGGTAGAAACGCAATAGCCCCTTCATGTTTCTATCAACTATGTTATGAATTTAAGTATGGAATTAAGGGGAACGTATCTGGTGCAAACCAACCACCATTTGCAACCTTGGAAACTACAAATCAGGGCCACAAGATGCTAATCCAATGGACAGGGTTAGAAGTGGGATTATTTTGCGCTTAGCCCCCCCCCAAGCCGACCACTTTTCCAACCAGAAACGGATGCGAGGGGGCAGGGGACTGGTGGGGGGCCTTAAGCGCAAAATAATCCCGCTTTTAACCCTGTCCATTGGATTAGCATTTTGTGGCCCTGATTCGTAGTTTTCAAGGTTGCACAGGGTAGTTGGTTTACATCAGATACGTTCCCGGAATTAAGATATAATCTAAACTTATGTATTTATAAGCTAGTTTTGTTATCTATCGGTATTTTGACCCGATGCGAGCGCTATATATGCTTTGATAGCAGCCCTAGGCGTCAAAATTGAAGAGCTCCGCCACTGCGTGTATCCAAGCTAGACCATGTTTAGTTCCTACCAAACTCCTGAAAAAGATACTATGCAAAAAGAAGATTTCCCGTCACATCAAACTTGCGGTATATGCATGGAGTACTAAATATAGACGAAATCAAAAATTAATTGCACAGTTTGATTGAACTTTACGAGTCGAATCTTTTGAGTCTAATTAATCAATGTTTAGACAATAATTCACAAATACAAACGAAATACTACAGTAACGCATTAATTATTTGGCCACTCCCAAATCCAGGAACTAAACAAAGCCCTACTTTAGGCACTATTCTTTGAGACTTTGGAAAGTCTTGACTCTTGGGGCTTCATCAGACATCAGGACAGGAGCACCCCCTGTGAGTTGTGACGAGGTCCAGCTCGTAGCCGTCCACAACTCTGTGGCCACCACTCCTCCACAAGACCACAATCCAAACCTCAGTTCCGCGCCATAAACCGCACCCACTACGGCAGAAACTAAACGGCACGGGCCATACGTCCCTCGCGGCCTCGCCCTCAGCCACCACAAGAGTCCATAGCCACAACCCATGGACGACGCCTGGCCGTGGCTGGCCTCCCTGCCGCCTCCTCTTCGTGATGAAGGCGGGCCCGACACACCGTCGCCGCCGCCATGGTCTCTCCCGCTCGCCGCCTCCATCGCCCTGCAGGCCGACACAACTGCTGCTGCTTCTGCGTCTCCCGCCGGCAACGGCGATGACGATGATGACGGCGAGCCCGCGCTGCTCGTCGCTTTCTCCGTCGCCGTCATCGGCGCAGGCGGCGAGCCGCGCGCGCTGTGGGCGTCTGAAGGCTTCGCGGCGTCCTCGCCGGTCGCGCTGAGGGTGCAGCTTCTGGTTCAGCTCCTCAACGAGGTGCTCGCGCTCTCTCCGTACGTCCCCTGCTTGGGCGCGGCCACCGGCGTTGACGACCTCGGCCGCGGGGACGTGTCCGAGGCCAAGGTGGACGCGGAGACCGTCTCCGCCGTCGTCGGGGCGGGTGGCGCCGATCCCTCTGCGCCCGCCGCGGCGGCCTTCTTCTCGATCGCTCTTCTGCTGCGACTCTTCTGGCTGTGCGCACTCGACGCCCCGGCAGACGCCGGGTACCTCTTCTTCCGAGACCTCGGGGCCGAGATCGAGCGCGGCCTCGGCGAGTGCCGGCCGGCGTTCGGCGTGTTCCTGCGATCCGTCGGCCCGGACGTCGAGGACCGGTTCATGCGCTCGCTCGGGTACATGCTCGCCAAGTGGTGCCTGCTGCGGGAGATACAGGCTGCTGCTGCCGGGCCGGCGGCGGCACCGCGTCGTCGTCGCGCGCTCCCCGCCGCGTGCCTGTCGTACGCCACCGAGGTGCACGGCCTCTGGGTCCTGAAAGGCTACGCGCCCGTGCTCGCCATGCCGCGCGTGGTCGCGGGCCCCGCGTCCACGTCCATCGCGGCGTCGCCGCACGAGGTGCCCGAGGAGCCGGCGCTGCGGTACGCCCTGGCGCACCAGCAGCTGGAGGCCGTGGCGCAGCTGGAGTACGCGGTGCACGTGCGCGACAGGAGGTTCGTGACCGTCTCCGTGCACGTCGACAACGTTCGGGTACGCGTCGCGCGGCTCGCGTTCCGTAAGGACGACGGCGACGGCGGCGGTAACGACGGGGAAGAAGAAGACGACGCCGGCGTCGACAACGACGTCATGGACGGCGAGAGCCATTTCCCGTCCCGTATCCGCGTCTGGGTCGGCCCGCTGTTCGGCGCGTCCTATGCCACGGGACCGAGCCTCGGCCGCTCCACGGGGAACCCCGAACGTGACGTCGAGATGACGCGCACCGTCAAGGGCGCCTTCGCCGGCGCCACCAAACCAGCCAACGGCGGCGGCGGCGCGCCAAGAATCAAGGCGAAGATGCGCTCGTCGGCGCGGACGCGTAACAGGAGCTGGCGGTGGGAGCAGGAGGCCGAGGGCAGCGCCGGCGTGTTCGAGGGGGTTCTCTACGACCCGGTCACCGGGACGGAGGTGTCCGCGTGGCGCCCCGGCATCGGCGGCGGCGGCACCGGAGCAGCAGACCCGAGGAACGGCATGAGAAGGCGGTATGGCGGGCCTGGGCGGGCGTTCAGCAAGATGCGAGGTCTGGTGGTGGCCGGCGACGAGCTGCCGGAGGAGATGACGTGGAGGGTGGGGAGGGAAGCAGAAGGGAGGACGCTGCGCTGGCGGTTAGGGCTCAAGGCTTGGGTGAGCTACCTGCCCAACGAAGTGAGGAGCCGCCACTTCGAGACCCGCTGCGTCGAGTGGGCGCACGAGGTGGATCTGCCGCTTGTGGCCGTCGACGGCGACGAGAGCTAATAAGGGTTGATCGAATCTTCACATCCATCCGCTTATTACCAAAATGTAGCATGAGACTAGAGAGGCTGCCGCCTGCCGGTGCCCTGTAGATAGATAATGTAACATGACACCATGAGATGCACTATAGATTTACAGAAAAGAAATGGATCGCTTGCACGGGGTTGTATCAATTACCATTTACCAAAATTGGTTCGCCACCAAAAAGCCAACAATTTTTTTTTTTTGGCGGCCGTTCATACTTTTGACAAACTTTGACTAGCAAATGAACTGAAATTAACAAGGGGCACTATATCGCAACATGGTTTTCAAAAAAAAAAAAATCGCAACATATGTTGCAAATGGCGCGGTATGATATGGATTATGCTCATCAGGTGCTTGTACAAGATCTTGTCTTTTTGCAAACAAATACTCCCTTTGTCCCAAATTATCTGTCGCTTTTTGTTTCCATGCCGCAAGTTTGACTCGATTTATAGAAAATACGTGCAACATTTGTATCTCTGAATAAATTTATTAAAAACTAGATTCAAAGATCTTTCCAATGATACCAACTATGCACCATAAATATTAATATTTCTAAATATATATTTTATCAAAATTGTTTCTTGGGAAGCGAAAACGATACATATTTTGGGACGGAGGGAGTAGGGTGGCTTTAGAGTAAAGAGGGATGAGCAAGTCTGAATTTGAGAGATCCATATGTTAATTTTTTCTATTGAGCTGACATGAGTGGATGGAACTAAAACATAAAGCGAGAAAAACTAAGGACTTCATATCTAGTCAGGTCAAATTTCATACTACGAGGTATATAGGACATTTTAAATGGGCAAGACAAAAATCAGAAGGAATTTTCTCCGGAGGGGAAGAAGAGAGGCCAATGATGGACATTGGTTGCTTAATCACTTGGCCAAAAGTTTGTATGCCCAAAGATCTCGGAGGACTTGGGCTACATGATCTCAAACATCTAGGTTGGGCTTTGAGACTAAGGTGGCTCTGTACGTATGGCAAAAGACACAGCCTGTAAACCTTGGGCTGAATTTCAGATACAACTTCGTTCACTCTCTGAAAGATTTCTTCTCTGTGTTTTAGTGTGCGACACAGGCAATTTTGGCAGCATTAGGTAAAGCATCACTTCTGTACAAAAGCAATTGTCGGCTTCAGTTCGCACTCTGCTTCCGGGAAAGAAAGGATCGATCTGAGCAGAGGTGGCCAGCACCCAGTGGCGATTTTGACTGCAATTTTTTTTTTCTATTTAGAAGCGCTGTGCTTGCGACAAATGTCAGGAGCAGACACGGAATCGGCCTGCCATTCATCCTACGGATAAACAAAGACAAGGTCATTTGGCAGGCAAGGCGCAAGAATCCAAACCAGTACTCGTACTAAAAATAGGATCAATGCCACGGGAAGTTGGCATTGGGCTGGGCAGCACGGCGAGATGCATGGAGTAGACAGACAGCTGCGGGCTAACGAACGCGTTGCGGATAGCAGGATTTGGATGAAACCGGACACCTGCGGACCACGGAGTGCAGCGGCGGCTTTTGCGGCCACGGGGCGACCCCGACGCCAAACGTCCGGGACGCTGCTCCGCGGTCGCTACGAGGAACTTCCCGTCGCAGCCCCCGCCCCGCGCCCGCACCGGACGGCTTGCCAATGGTAGCTCCCATGCTCGAGGGGTCTGCGTCTGCCCGGAAGAAAAAAAAAATCGGTGGAGACGACGTACGATCCCATCATCCCATAGAGGTGACTGTTGCAGTGGTGTTTAATAAGTTTATAATAAGAGAAGTAGTTAGTTGAAAAAAAAAGCTACAACATTTTTCTGAGTATAGACACGTGTTAGTGAATCCACGGCAAGACCTGTTCAACATGGGTAGGGATGAAAACGGAGCGGATCGGAGCGGATAATGCTCGGATACGGATGCGAATACGGATTTTTTTGGATGTCGAAACTGATATGGATATAGAGCGAACACGGATCGGATACATATTTAAATAGTCGAGTAATATGTGCATACTTAAAGAATTTTATACTTGTCAAAAATTAATTGTAAAGATTTAATAGCAAGTAGTAGACAAAAATCATATATTGCATTCCATGTTGTGGCTATCGCACCGACAAAATTAACATTTAACAAGTTATCCTCACTTACAAATGATAAGTTATTAGCCGATATGTAATAGCAGCAAGCAAGATCTCAATTCAAAGTTTATAACGTCAAACAACAACATCACAAACTAAGAGTTCTCAGCTAACAAACTTTTTTAAAAATCCTAAATTTCTCTAAGTTTTAGTCTAGGAAAAGAATTATCGGATATCGTACTTTAAACATCGGATAATCCTCATAGAATTTGCGGATAATCCATATCCTCCGGATTTTGCTGATTCCATATCCTATCCAGCATCCGCACAGAATCGGATTCGGATTATTCATATCCGCGTGGATTTTAAAATTTCTTCTCCATATCCTTAAAATCCGGATTCGGCTCGGATTGGAGCGGAGAATTATCCGCACCACTTTCACCCCTAAACACGGGACAAAAGCATGTGTACGTGACACTATTCTAGTTTTGAGAAACTATAGTATATATAAAAAATAGTTTTAGAAAAATGTGCAAAATCTCATTTTAGAAAAGAAAGGAGATCTAGAGTGGAATTTATCTCAAATAGTGCTAGAGTTACTTCTGCAAACTACGGAGGTTTGGGCAGAGATGTGAGATGACACATGAAAAAAGTAGCTCACTTGCGAGTTGCAGATCTACGAGACTTCTATGCACTGAATGGGTGTTGGTTTTAGTTAGGGATGAAAACGGATCGGATACGGATTTATATCGCTCGGCTGGGACAGCTTTTTCTAAAGCTTTAGATTTGAAACGTGGTCGCGTATTAAATTTAGACTAGAGACGTGTGAGCGTAAGAAGTAAGACGTTGATGAAAAGAGTGAGGTGCGGTGGTACAAGATATGTGCTCTTTTAAAAAAAAAAAGAATTTTGGAACATTCAGCCGTTCATAGGTAAAGGCATCGAAGTTTGCTGAAATCAGCTGGCCTCGTTTACACTACACTAGTCGTCTCGGAACAGCGAGGGTAGGCGAGGCGACCCGAATGCGCGGGGGGGACACGTCTGCGCGGCCGCAGCCGCGCAAAAACTACTGGGCACCGGCGCACAAACGCCGCGTGCTCCCCGACCACCAGCTCCAGCTCCCTCCCTCCAAAGCCCCCAATCCCTCCACACTGCCCTGCCCCAGCACCCAATTGAGCCATCCCAATCCCAACCCTAGTCCCTCGCCTCCCCCAATGACGTTGCCGGGCGGCGTCTTCTCCGCCGCGCTCGTCGCCGAGGACTTCCCGTGGGTGCGTCGCTCGTGCCGGTCCAGCCCGATTTGTCCCTTTATTTGCTGATGAACCCGGAGAGGTATTGGCTTGGACCGAATTCGCTGATGCTGCTTCTGCTGACCTGCTATGAGTGGTGGTTGCTGCGCAGGTGGAGAGGGAGGAGGAGATGGGGATGGCCCCGGACAAGTACAGCGAGGTGTTCGGCCTCGCGCAGCGCGGCACACGAGCCTTCCGCGACAGCCGCTTCGACGAGGTGATCGCTGAGTTCTAGCTCCTTCCCTGACTCTTTTTGTGTGTGCAATTGTGCATGCAGTCGAGTTGCCAGTGTCTCGGTGTATCCGGACTGGGAGTTCGCATATGCCTCATGAGCGTCTGCTAGTTTAATTGGTTATATGCTTCGAGTGTTGGGAGAAAAATGAGAATTGGCTTTGGAGTTGGACGGGGAGTCTGTGAGTCTTAGAGTCTAGTGTACCCTGGGTGACCTGAGATTCGGCTTCGGGGAGGAATGAGGATGCAACGACTGTCTTTTGCTTTTTGACTCCTTGAGATGAGATGAAGTCCAATGTAATGTAAACGAACCAAGCTGAAGTGGCACAATGGTGTTCAATTCATTCCTTGTCAATGCAAGTTAATCTCCTGAAGAGGTTCTCCCGCATATGCAGCGAACGCCTGGTACCAGCAATTGCAGTTTGTAGACAGTTTTCAGAAGGGAGAAAACTATACAAGTTATCAACTAGAGTCATTGCTTTCCCTTGCTCTGCCTCTTACAATAGTAAAATATGCTTGACAGAGTTAGCATATGCAGATAATCTGGAATATCAAGGAGGTTTCACATACAGTTAGCGTGGCATTCTGAGTAGCCCCCCCCCCCTCCTGGAAAAAACTGCCCAAACTATTTATGGTCCTAGTAGAGGAAAGCCCTAGATATCTTTGTGGGTATCACACAATATTTTATGGTCCCAGTGATTCCTGAATTTCACCTAAAGCAAAGCCCAAACTAATTAACAAGATGGGCCTCCTGCCAGTGGTGGAATGCTCCTGTTTGGGCCTACTTATGCAGGCAGCAATGCAGCATCTCGAGTGATCCTATTAATTACATAATATATATTGACAGTAATTTTATCATTTTGTGTTGTTTTTTAATTATCTGCTTTTAGGTGGTCTGCGCATGTACAATTTTTTTTTTTACCTTAGTGCAAATGCTACTTGGCATGATCCTGTTTCAGGCAATATCCTGTTACACTAAAGCTCAAAATTTGAGACCAGATCCAATTATCCTTGGCAATCGAAGTTTGGCTTTCTGCCGGTGAGTTTCCTGGCAATGTTTTTGCATAATTTAGCTGTACAGATTTCTTTCGTTCTGTATAGATATGTTTGCTTTGGATCCACACCATGGTGTGTTACCACTATGACAGGTTAAGTCAACTGTTGAGGGAGAGATCAGCAGCTGACTCTGAATATCAGCCCTTGAATGGCCTTGATCCTACAACCCATGCGGAGGTATAGTACTTCACACTATTGTTGGATTCCAATGTTAATTAAGTGAACTCGCAGCGCATTAGGCTTTCTTTCCTTATAAGAAAAAAAACTCTTTTTATATTTGATTCATTATTACAGTTAGCTCTGAAGGATGCGGAGAAGATATTATCTATCAACAGTAATTCTCCTAGACCATATCTTCTCAAGGCATATGCGCTAATTCTGGTAACAGTTTGTAACTTAAGCACATCAGAAGATCTTGAATCCAATCTTCTTTTGTTAGTGTGAATAGTACTTTTTAAGTATTTTTTCCCTGAATAAGAGTACTCAGTTTAGCCCACTTGTATTAATTTTTGGAAGAACCTTTTATTGTCTGTGGACTGTGGTCATTTGGTCTTCTCACGTTTAAAATTTTAATATTGGACAAGTAACACCTGTACTTTTGCAAATTCCCGGATGTACTTTATGTCATATATTTTTCCACTTCTATTTCTCATGACTTGAATGTTCACTTTATCCAGAAATCTCAGGCGGTAAATTTCAATATGCAAAATTTGGAATTACATGTGGCAAATTGTTAAGTTTGAGACCACTCTGGGTGATCATCCAAAAGAAATACAAGTTCGCTAATCAAAAGAAAACATTAAAAAGATTCATGGATGTAGTAATGCATGACATATACCAAATTTCATTGCAAAATTCACCAATAGGGGGCAAGCCCTCCTGTTTCTTAAAAAAAGAGAGCAAAATGTCCATGTATATATAATTTGTTTTTTTTTTTTTTTTATGCTCTGTTGTTCCACCATCAAGAGAACCATTCACAAGCTTCTCTTTTTATTATAATCTATTGGAACATATATACTATTATGTATATTATGTCCATGTTATAGTGGATTCGTATTTCCTTGAATGTTTGTTTATCTAATTGGAATAACTCATTGATATGAAGATGGAGCATTACCATGAGTCACGTGAGGCCCTTCTTGCTGGTCTTCAAGTCGATCCCCTCAGGTATGATTGTTGGCTTATAAGGATATTCATAATTGACTTCATTGCTTGCAGATATCTATTATTAATGATCCTCTGGTGCATTTTATAACACATTTTCTATATATATACAGTCATATCTTGCAAACCTGTCTGAATGATCTGGATAGGAATACAAATATTGCAGCTGGGGCAAGGCGTGCAAGGTTAGATAGGACTGATGATTTTGAGTGCACATTATGCTTTAAGCTATTGTATGAACCTGTCACTACACCATGTGGGCATTCATTTTGTCGCTCGTGTCTACATCAGTCAATGGATCATGGTGAGCTTACACAATTTTCACATGCCCAAATATCTGTGTCTGTTTAATTATGAACTTACTGCTATGTGCTATGTCCAATAGGAAATAAGTGCCCCATGTGTCGGACAGTGCTATTTATTGGTCCAAGGACATACCCTTTAAGGTAATCTAAGATGTTGAGAAGTTAATCTTCTTTACTTCAAACTTCAAAGTATCATTTTGTTAAGATGTCCATATTTTTCCCTGACATTTCTGATGGCAGTTATGGTTAAATGCTTCAGTGTAACATTGAGCAACATAATTCAGAGAAATTTCCCAGAAGAATATGCTGAGAGGAGGTCCGAACATGAGACTATGACATATGCCGGTGTTGATTTGATGCCTCTCTTTGTTATGGATGTAGTACTTCCATCCCAAAAGATGGCACTGAACATATTTGAACCTCGCTACAGACTGATGGTAAAGTTATCACAAAATTAGATACACTTTTGTCAGACACATTTGTTGATAATGTACTTCTCTATTGATCAAGATCGCAAACCTAACTGTACATGCATATCCAGCTTGCAGCTATAACCTTGCAAGATTTTATTATTTAATATTTATAAATCTTGCTGAACTAAGTTCCTTTCTCGAATGATGCATTAATTATCGAAATGTAAACATGTTCAAGCGTTATTTCCATTTTTATTATATGTTAAATTTCAATAATTTCGATAATTAATGCATCATTCGAGAAAGCAAGGTTAGTGTGCTTTGAAGAAAAATTATATGTGCATATATGTTTTTTTTTTCAAAACATGGAAAGCTGCATAGGCTATATAATTTTGAAGACATTAATTGATCATCCTGCACATCTTGGTTCCAGTGAATAGAAAAAAGTGTAAGACCTTATCGTCTTTTGCTGTTGATGCATGACTCTGAAATTTATTTTTTCTGTTGGATTCTGCATTCTTTGGCCACACACAGTTGTGTATTTGTTTGTTATTCACCAATTCACACTAACCTTAATGAGCCTAGGAAAAATGCATTTTTCCTAGGTTTTTTTGCGAGAAAATAAGACATGTAACTGAGTGGTATTTTGCTCTATTTATTTCTTCATTATCCTTTAATGCTTTCCATTTGAAATTAGGTACGGAGAATAATGGAAGGGAACCATCGGATGGGAATGGTTAGGAACTAATGTCAAAGCATCACTTTGTTTGTTTTGAAATAGTTATTTCATTTATTTTTGGTTTGAAAACTGTAGGTTGCTATTGATTCAGCAACGGGTACTGTAGCAGATTGTGGCTGTGAGGTGGAAATTTTGGAGTGAGTTTTACTTTTCATTATTTGCAACTTCCTGACAATATATTTTTGTTTAATGTTTAATATTCATAAATTTATAGGTGTGAACCACTTCCAGATGGGCGCTTTTATTTAGAGGTAATTTTTGTATTAGTACTGGATTTCATAATTAAATAACAGTGTAATTATATTCTGCAAACTGCTTTCTGTATGTGCAACTGCGTGGTGTGCGTCCCTGTGAGCCTACAGATCCTTGACTGTGTCACTGCAGAAATAAAATATTCTCTTAGTATTGTCTGGTGAAAACTAATTGTCATATATATTCTTAGACTCAACGTTGTTTTAGAACCTAAAAGATGTAAGATCTATTTGCAAATGTTCTTGGAATATTTTTCTTTGTTTTGCAAATGGAGTCCTTAATTCTTGTTACATTGAAAGAAATTTATTGTAGAGACTAGAAAAGAGCATAAAGAAAGTATCTTTTGGTCAGCTGCAGCAAGAGGAGTAGAGGACCTTGCAAAGTATCACTCATTTCATAGTTTCGTCTACCTTCTTTTTTCCCTAAAGGCACCATTGTTTAATGTCAAATAATGTTTTGATGCCTTTTTATGTTGAACCAATGTAATGAATTAAATTGTGAAATTCTGAAGTCATTTTCAGAGGACAAAAAATAATAGTTTCCATCATAGGTGGAAGGCACACGTCGGTTTCGTATCTTACGATCATGGGATCAAGATGGGTGAGTCTTACATGCTTACTACAAATCTATCTGGGAGAGAATGACAGATCATTTCCGTGTAATTCTTACTTTTGTTTTTTTTTTTTGAAAAAATTGTAGATATAGAGTTGCTGAAGTTGAATGGTTGCAAGATATACGTCTGCCAGAAGGATCGCAAGAGAGAAGAGAAGTAAAATCTCCATACCTTTCTCATGCTTTTCTTTAACTCTGACAATAATTATGTTCAAATGCAACCAATATTTTTTATCAGTATATCCTGTTGATTTTTTTTTTCTTCTAAAAAGTATTCCCTCCATTTCAAATTATAAGACGTTTTGGCTTTTTTAGATACATAGCTTTTACTATGTACCTAGATATACACTATGTCTAGATACATAGTAAATACATAGCTTTTACTATATACCTAGATATACACTATGTCTAGATGCATAGTAAAATAAATGTATCTAGAAAAGCCAAAACGTCTTATAATTTGAAATGGAGTGAGTACATCTCACATTAGCTACATACTCTCAAAACCACATTGAGGTTCTGTTAGACTACTGCCAAATTGAAAACCTATAACATGTTAGTGTAACTTTTGAAACTGGGGGAGATGGACAATTGGAACATATCTGGTATTTGTTATGATCTTATTGGACTTAGAACAAGACAGCTTTTAATCGGTGAAAATTCTGTAGAATCATCCTTAGATGTTAAAGAGATGGCATGGTGAATATTATGTGGGCCCGCACATATGATGGTTGCCCGGCATAGCCCATAGCCCCATAAACAGTTCAGCATGGCCGAAGCTGAGTAGGTCAATCAGATTAGTGCTTGCTGTTTGCTTTTGGATCAAATCGCTAGGTATGATTGGTGTGCTATGATAGGAGATTTGAGTTGACTAGTTAATTTGTTAAAGTTTGATGCAGCTGACCATGTAACATTCGTGAATAGATTTATCTCTTATCTCCTTTGTCACTTGGTGCCCCCCCTACCCCTGACACCCCACACTCTCTCCGCTGCCATGGCTGTCCGGAGACAAGGCTGCAAGTAGGGTTGGCTTATCCGATGAGCACTTCTGCTGGCTTTTCTTTTATGACCTGATGTGTTTTGTATTCAAGTTCATTCTTTTCTTTTCTATAACTATTGCAGCTAACACAAGTTCCATAAATTTGACTCTCCTATTCTTTTCTCGTAGTAAAAACAAGACCCTGCATTCCATGGTTGGCTATCCCTTTTTTTCCCCCTTCCATCTGTGGCGAATAGTAATCCTTGACTATTTGGTTCTTCTCTCCTAGCCTATGCTTTCATCCATGCTTTGGATTACTAATATTGGCCAAGTGAAAATTACAAGAGACGTGTTACATCTCATCAAAATCAAAATAGTAATGCTGTTAGAGGAGTTAAAGGCCTATTGGGCCTTAGCCCATTAGGGTTAATTAGTCGCTTGCTTAGGGGCCAAGTCAGACCTCTCTATATAATGAGAGGAGCTGTATCAATCTAGAATCAAGCAAGAGATTAGAAGGAAATCCCTTCTCTCTTGCCGGCCGTGGGCGAAGCCCCGCGGCTGGCCTCCCCCAGCGCCCCTAGCCCTAGCCACCGCCACCACCATGTGAACAGTACCCGCGGATACTGTAGCGCTGCGGGTACTGTATCAGGCTCATCGCCGCCACTTCCCTCAACTCTCTCCTCTCAATCCCAACAACCCCAACGCCATCCATAACAAATGCTGTCTCTGTCACTTTTATTTATTGAGTTTATAAGTCTATCTAATTCTTCACAGCTAATGGAAATGGCCAATGGAGCTTCAGAGATGGCCAGGGCATATATTAGACGTGCTAGAGAAACCATACGGACTGGTATGCTTAATTTCAGCTTTTCAAGTACTTCATAGTGAAGTAGTTATTTATACAGTGAAACATATTGTTTTAGACCTGTTTAGAGAAAAGTAGGATCTTGTATGCAAATTTTCAGTATGGTGCATGAATCATTGGCTCCATAAATTGATTTGAATTAACAGAGTAAACAAAACTCAAATTACACAAGAACATAGTACCATTTGATTTTATTTGAAGCCTAGAGCTGCCAAAGTTTGAACACAAAATCTAGAGATGAACCAATCAAGCCCTTAAGGTTATTTGGTGTGCATTGGATCATGATAATGATTGTCTGGGTTGCTAATATTTTTGGATTATTATTTGCTTCTACATTGCATTTTGTTTTAACATTCATTGAATGCAGCAAGGCGAACAAGACATTTGGATCTTGAGAGCATGCCTGGGCCACAGGATCCTGAGAAATTTAGTTTCTGGGTACGCAGCATGCTTGTTGCTGAATTTGTAATGATGGCATATTTGCTGATGCAATGTTTTTATTTTATTTTTATCTTCCCTGCAGCTAGTCAACTTGATGAGTTTGAGGCCCTCGGATAGATTAGATATGTTACGCCTTCGTGACACTAGGGAGGTAAGCTCTTAAGGCTGTCTTCTGTTTTCACGGTAGAGACCAGGTTTTGATTTTGCATTGTTGTTGCCTCTGCAGAGAATTTCTAGTAGTATCAGGTTGCTGAGTGATGCCGAACAAGGTTGCCGTGTACAATGACAGAAACAGAACTATAGTACAAGAATTGTTTCCACAGAGACAGACCAATTCGTTCATCTAGGGGTATATATATACCGAGCAGCTCCTATATGTATATCGATTTGTAGCATATATATTTCTCATAGTTGTCATTTAATTGATTCTGTTCTATATGATTTCCTCATGTTACTGTCAATGGAAAAGGTGTATCATTACTTCCTCATTCGTGTATTACTACCTCCTTATTCTTGTATCGATCCGTTTTCGCTTTTAATGCCATTTGAGAATTTAGGTTCCCGCGTGTTGGTAATTTGGTATGCTTCTGCGTATGCTACTATAGTGCTCTTGTTATTTTTGCTAGGTTGGTCGAAATTACATTTTTCCTGGTTCATCGTACCTAAAATGCATGCTTGATATAGGAGCATTGCCGCAAAAAGGGGGAAAAATCGTGCCACTTGCACGTACTACACCTGTTCCATAGTTTGAAAGCATTTCCGGTCAGAGATATGATATGACGAAACAGGGGCGCAGGTGTCAGCTGACTGCCAATGACTTGCCGGTAAGCTTTTTTTATTTTTTATTTTCAGGAGGACGGTAAGCTTTTACTATACCCTTCAAAAATTACCTGTTCTGACCTCAGTCCAAAATTAGCCTTACATCAGCAGCCCAGCTGCCATGTGCCCAGCTCATACTCTAGGCCATAAGCCCATTCTGTCGTTCATAATTTCACGTGGCCCATAATGTCAATAAGCAACAGCCCACAAGCAGATAAGGCCAGAAGTCTACAAGAGCAGCCTAGTCTGTCCCCTCGACGGGCCGCCGCCTTGTTTCATTCCCTGGCGTGCGCCCCACGTTTATTCCCGACTTTAAATACCGAGCCCGCACCGCGCCGCTACCCCCCCTCAGCGCAACCGTAGCCTCGCCGAGTCGACGCAGCGCTGCAAAACCCTAGCCGCCGATGAGCCAAGCACAACACCGCCTCCGTTCGCTCCGCACCGCGGTAAGCTACCTAGCGGAGTTTGCCCTCCCTTCTTCTATCTCTCGATGTCCTCGGCTCGTGAATCTATGGCCCGTAGGCCCTCCTCTAAGAAACGCCGGCGAGCTTCTCGCCGCCGACCATGGCGCCATCGCCTCCTCTTTCTGATCCGATGGCTGCTTTCTCCCCCCCCCCCGCTGGATCTAGTCTGTACCGGTTCGGCCTGTTACTTTCGCATAAGAACCCCTTCCCTTTTCTAGTATAGAACCAATTGTCCTTGCACTTTTGCTAAAGAGACCCTCGACTTTTGAACAATCTAACCCGCAGTCCATGGCGCACTTCAAGAATACGTTTTCCTATTCTGAAAACGTAGTTTCTTCGGTTAGATCCAAAATATGTTTTCATTTATTTATAGTTTTGCCACTATTTTTTTAGGCCATAAAATCTTCGTTTTAACTCCGATTTGATCCGTTCAAGTTGCATTAGATTCGTAATTGAGTAATCTACATGTTTAAGCCACTGTTAAACATATTTTCAACTTTTAAAATTTGAGATTAGATTTAATATATTATTTTATTAAAGAAAATCTTGTTTAATTCATAACTTCTTCGTTATAGCTCCGATTAGAGTGCTTTTTCGCGCTTGTGTGATCGTAGTAACGTGTAGAACATCTTTAAAACCTTTTTACTTGTTGTTTATTATGTTTGGTGTACTATTCTAATTTAGTTCTATTGTTTGCTTCATGTATGATTGCATGGATGCTTGTGTGGTGCTTTATGATCATGTCTAGTCGGTGAGCTTTGCGTTGGTGATATAAAAGAAGTTGGTGATCCAGAAGAAGTCCTTTGGAGGTTACAATTCAATACAAGAAGGATCTGAGTTTAAGGCAAGTATAGCATGGGATCTTCCTTATTGTCATATACACCTTTAATCATTTAATTCATACTGCATGTGTCTACCTTGACTACCACTAAGGATTTTCTAGTACTTTGTACCTTGTACCTTGATTCCTATGGGTTATTGCATTGGGTAGTATGATGCTAGTGCTCCACCAAAGCCATGATCTTGTAACTTGGCTAATGGATTATGCAATAAACACTAAAAGATATTTTTAGCAACATGGAACAAGGGGGCTAGAGCATTGGGCTATTTTATGGTGCTCTAGATTCCTCTCCCTAAGAACTTATCTGTAAGCGAACATCTGAGACTTACAGTACAGCTGTGAGAGCTACATGGCTCTGGCTTTAGCTCAGTATGAGGACCTTTTCTAGCTTGTTAGTGGTTACCTTTATTGGCGTAAGAATGGCTTAATGAATCGGGTATAGTGCGGCCTCTATCCCCTTGTGTATAGGCTACGCGTCATTGTGCCATCGAGAAGGAGGGCTCTACATCTATTTGCCGAATGAATCTAATGGCCCTAACTTGTTAGACGAACCTTTGAAAGGCTTCATACTGAACCCTGCCGACCTTCCTTGGTAGTGGGTCAAGAGGCTGATCACCTCGGGCGAAAGAGTAAATCACGACTCACAGTGAAAGTGTACTACCTCTACAGAGTGTAAAACTGGTATATCAGCCATGCTCACGGTTACGAGCGGCCTTTGACCCTTACGGAATAGATGATGAACACGAATGATACTGATGATGACGATGCTCACTAATGATTACCATTTATGCTATTCATTATTCATGTTTACTTGATCATGTGTTTATATGGGCTTGTGAATAAACTTGTTGCCACCCAATTGCTAAAAGATGACTCATTAAAAGCTAATCACAGCTAAACCAGTGTCAGCCTTTTGAGCCTCATGAACCCCATATTATATTTGTTGAGTACGACATGTACTTACGCTTGATTTACTTTTTAAATCTTTGGAAAAATCCCGAATGAGTACCAGATTGTGTGTTCCTATGGAATTGGAGTCTTCACCCGAATATCGGAGTTGTCTTTCTGTTGTTTGCTGTCGAAGGTTATATCCTTTATACTAAGTACGGTATATATTGAGCATTGTCTTTTGATATTACCCTTATTTGTAGCTATATGTGAGATTTGACTTCCTGGGTTCACATATGGTGTATATCTGATTTTGTTCTTAAAACCAGGTGCTACAAAGGAAAAAAAATCAGGACAAGCACCTCCGTGTCTCATACCAGTTTCATATTTTTTTTCAATACATTTTCTCTTTTGAACCATGGAAAGGCGCACACACATCTTATGACATTATGCCAATAAAAATTGAACTTGGAGATATTCAAGCATTGCAGCTGAGGCGATCTTCTGAATCTTCCCTTCAAAACAAAATAGAAACATAACCCGGATGTTAAATCTCTCTCTTCTCTCTATATGGATACTCGCTGGCTGGGCGTTTGCAGACCAAGTCCTTTGTGTTTAAAGTTTAAACATTTCAGCCTATGTCTACTCAAGTCGGCATTAGTTTCTTGCAGCTTATAGGTATCTTGGAGCATCTATGTTAGATATGATAATATTCAATCTTCTGTGCCTAAAAAGTACTCCCTCTGTTCCAAATTATAAGTCGCTTTGACTTTTTTGGTACATCCATTTTGCTATGTATCTAGATATAATAATATGTCTAGATACATAGCAAAATGGATAAACCAAAAAAGTCAAAGTGTCTTATAATTTGGAACAGAGGGAGTAGTATTTTAAACAATAAAGCTAGCAAATCTTCTATCTCATCTCCTATACCTATAATTTTTAGGATATCTCCTAAAAGAAACATCATCTCTCTTAATTAAAGGAGAGAACCCCCTCTCATCTATTCCTAAAAAAATATAGGAGACAAGTTTTAACTAGGTAATCCATTGCAGCATACTCTCCTATATCTTATATGAGATACAATATGAGAATGAGACAATGTGCTTGTTCGCTTAGAGCCTTCCCCGGTGATAATGTTTGGCTCACCACAAAGGCTTCCGCCAACCATGGTAAGTGCCACAAGCCACTTATGCTCACCACCTCTCCAACTAGTCCCATCACCTTGTCGTCATCCACTATGAAGTTTCTCCACCAAAGAAAGGGTCTCATTATCCCTCGCACACCAATTCGCATAGCTCCACACCGTTGCCAGAGAGGCACTAAGCCCACCTTTCTCTTTCTCTCAAGCTATGGCGTAATCAATAAATAATGATGCCACTAAGCACAATACTAAACCTTGAATATTATCACTAAGATCTTATATGGTGGATGGAGTATATTTAACTTGCACATACTAATTTACTATTTATAGCTTCTAGGTACTCCAAAAATCACCTTCAAATAGCTGGTTAAGGGAATATTTATAGCCCTAGGCTTAACTAGCCATTATGCCTATGGTTTATAGATGCAAACAACACCAGATGATCTGGTGGGCACTAATATTCTTCATCAATTCACCCCGCGAGGAATCCAATTGTTGTTGCCATTGTCACTTGAGTTAGTACATCTAGGTCCCACATCATTGGATGATCCAACATTGGTCCTTTCTCATCACGGTATTGTTCGGTGATTCCATGCGACCTCCTGTGCATGTCTATATTTTCTACATAGGATGATCCTCGTGATCATGTTGATCCTTCATCAGATCTTCCGACACTACTATACTACCACCTCTCTAATCATCACCGTATCATCCGGTGGCCTTCTCCTTCCCTTTAGTGGATCACCTGGTGGTCACTATGTCTTGAGTTGCTTCTCCTATGGCGCTCATCATATGATTCGCACATGTTGATCAACTGATTTGACGTATGTTTCTCTATCATTTCTTCTAGGATCTTGATCGTTAGTTTTCCATATTGCTCCTAACATACATAGGACCTATGTAAAGTTGTCCAACACATACTAGCATACATGTTAATCATATTGATCGTGCATGCCATTTCAAATTTCAATCACCAAAACAACTAAGACATGTTAGCATAGGGGCTATGTTTGCTACATCAGCTCCTCTCTCTCTCTGGTGCCATGGATGGCAAACTCTCGGTGTTGAAGTGCTCGAGCTCTTGGTCTCAGGGAGCTTGGAGCCTAGAAAAAACATCCACATCTGAGCCC